TCGTTCATAAAATAAGATAAAAAGTTTTATAAAGAATTTTTTAGTTAAATTTAATAATTTTTTTAACTAAATTTAATTTTATTTTTTATTTTTTAAATTATATTTATTATTTAAATTATATATTTTTTATATATTCTAGATATCAAAATTGTTCATAATTTTTTTTACGATTTAACAGATGAAAATATAAAATATAAAAACAAATTACTTCATTTAAATATAAATTAAAGTATGAATCATAGACATTGATATTCAAATAAGGTAAGTAGAAATTACACATATTTTGTCATGCCAACTAACTTCATAATGATGATTCATATATATGAATTCATATTGTGTATATGTAAATATGTAAATGATAAAGAACAAATAATATGTAAATATTAAAAAAAGTATATCGATAATTTGTATTTATATAATATACTTATATATTATATAATTAATTATAATGTTATTATTACATTCAATAAAACAATATTTATCATAACATTTATTTATATTATACATTATAAATTAACAATTTAAATCAACTTAATAACTTAAAAGTTAAAAAATTATTTGCTAAACTTAATCTTAATTAAAATTAATTAACTAAAATTAATTTAATTAAAATTATTAAATTAAGATATTGATCTTATGAAATATTGCATATATTATTTTTCTTGGAAAATTTGTATATAAAAAAACATATATAGAATATAAAATACTTTTGTTTCTGCATATAAAATTAAAACATAAAAAAAAGAGAAATTATTTTTTATCACTATATGCATTATTAACTCATAATTATCTTACAAACACTTAAATAGATATACATATTTATACATAGAATGAATTTATATATTGAAATAATTTTATTACATATTATGTAAATTAAATTAATTTATATTTTTGTTTAACAATAATACCATACATGTTATTATCATTTACTATATTTTTATTATAATCATTTTTACTATAGAAAATTACTATTTAAATTTTATTTAATTTTATCATAATTTTGGATTAGGTTTAAAAAATTTATCCCAAGAAAAGAAATTTAAATCACTATCGAGAAAATTATTATTTTCATTTGATGATAATTTCTTTTTTCCAAATAAATCACCTGAAATTTATATAATTATATATAATTTTTTAAATAAAAATTAATTAATGAAATTAAAAACAATTTTTTGAAAAATTATATAAATTTTAATATATTAATGAGCATAATATTTTTTTTATAAATAAGTTAATATATTTTTATAAAAAAAAAATATAATTTAGAAAATATTTTTTAATTCTGTAAATCTTATTATAAGTTATAAATATAAGTAATAATATAAATATTATTTGTCTCTTCAATGTTTCAAAATTTTGTAAATTCCGGATTTAATCATTAAAAAAAATAATTTCAATAACATGTAATTTTTTTTTTTAAATTTTTAATTAATTAAAGTATCCTAAAATTGTAACAAATTGAAACAAAATTAAAACAAATTGAAAAAAGTGTTCCAATGAACATATAATCTAATCATCTAATAATATTAAAGTGATATATTTTATAATTATTAATAAAAGTAAATATAAAATTAAATAAATTTTTTTATTAGAAAATATAGTTAATTGAAACAAAAATTTGTATTATTTTCCTGAATCTTTCATAAATTTATTACTTACATTCATTTACATCACAAAATTCTTCTGTTTTTATTTCTACTCCATTTTTATCTATTTTTGTAACAATAGTGTGAATTTTATCACCAATTTGCTGTGATATCATAGTTTCTTCATTTCCTTCATAATCTTTAATAATTTGTTTTTGTTCTATTGTTCCATCAGCTTTACGAATATATTCTTTCCTCATGGATTTTCCAAATATGCGAGGACGTGATATTTCAAATTTTGATTTGTCATGTTCATCCCAAATATTGGAAAAATTATCTACAGTAATCCTATTGAAATTAACAAAATTTTTTTTCAATATTTATAAATATTACATTCAATAATTTTTTAAAATAATTAAATGAATTATAATTTAACTTATTTTATTAAATTTAATTACTAACTTTCCATCTAAATCTGTATCTAATTTTAATCCAGTCTGATTATTATTTGGTTTTAACATTTTATCACGTAAATTTTCTCTTTGTGAAGGAGCATTTAAAGGTCCAAATAGAAATACATTTGTATTTGCATCATTATCTAAAAAAATTTTTTAAATATTTTTATAATTATTTTTAAAATTAATATAATTAATAATTATTTTTAAAATAATATTTATAATTATATATGAATTAAAAACAATATATTGATATCCATTATTAAATCCATACCTTCATTATGAAATCCATAAATAAAATTCATCATTATATTCTCAATCTGAGATTCAAAGTATCTTGNTATTTATTATTTATTATTATTTATATTATTATTTATTATTATTATTTAAAGTGAAACAAAATTTTATAAATATATGTTTATGTTTTGCAATATATCTTTAGTTTGCTCATATCAAAAATTTATTAATATTATATTAAAATAATACAAATAGATTTTTAAAAATATTAATTAAACAATGAACAAATAATAAATCTTTATAAAATGTAAAATAAAATTTACCTCGGATTATCATAAACATCAATTTGCCATATTGAATTTCCAAAATTGTCTCCATTATAATTATCTTCACAATCAGTAAATCTGAAATATTCAATTAAAATAAAAAAAATTGAAAAATTCAATTAAAATAAAAAAATATAATATATTCGATTATATCATAAAAAATGAATAAAAATAAGTAATAATGGAATCACACAACCCGCAGAATCGGATTGTAATAATGCAATCGACAATTATACATATTTATTTACATTTTTTACCTTTTATTAAATTTATCCGAATTGTTTCCGCCAAATATATTGCGGATGAAATTCCAAAACTCCATTTCTTACAATTCTAATCTCTTTACTTAATGAAAAGGAGCTTACATCATATTTTTGAATATTCTCGAACTATAGCAATGGACTGTGTTCAACAAGACAACTCACTAGATATAAATAAATTAAAAAACGTGACAATTAGATACAATTTCAGTTATTGGTTGATGAATTATCGATATTAAAATCTTTACATATTTAAAATATGTCGATATTAACTATAATAGTATTATTTATTTTATTTTAATAAAGATAAATTATATTTATGAACTTTTTTCTCGAATTATTTATCGAATCAAAAAATCATACTTTTTCTTGTCTAAATTTAGAATATATATTAAAATATGTATTTAATATTTATTAAATATTTTATGTAAATTGAATAGTTTTAATTTCTTTTAAGAATAATTGAATAGATTTAATTTCTTTCTACATTTTGATCATGTGACTTTATTTACATTTAATGATTTATCTCATTGACAGAATATTATATTTTTTAATTTGAAGATAGTCATATAAGATATAAGTTATGGTTAGAATAAATTTAGCAATAATATTATTTCATTTCGATAGACATTTACTATAAGTTACTATTTTCGGATTCCCGCGATTTTATAAAATATTTGCTCATAATAATATATATAATGATAATAAATAACATAAAAAGATTATAATAG